TTTTTTTTTAAATGGTTTATAGGCTGTAATTGATTATAGAAAGTTTATAGATTATGTAATTAAATGTTTTGTCAAAACTTGTATTATTTGAGTTGTTTAAATGGTTGATTATTATAATTTTATTTTTATTTTTAAGTAATTTTCCTCTTCAGGATGTTGTAGTAGACAGTGCCCTAACCTACCCAAATGGTATTAATTTTATTTGTGCAGGTCTTAAATCTTAAAAACCCTTAAATTGGGTTTTAAAAACCTTGGGTTGTTCTTTCTAAAATTCATAATCCGAGAAATAAACAACCTTCTAGAGTCAAGCATGCTGTCTTGTCTTTCTGTTCTTACCCTCATATCCTATTCTCTTCTTCTGTTTGCAGATCACACTGTTACAGATGGAGCATAATTTTGATATTGTGAGTATAAATGGGTGCGTGTGTCCATGCACAGTCAGAACAATTGTGCGAGCCGATCAAGGCAAACTGCAGTGAATCTATCACCTGCCAATGATTTCAACCATCTATTCACAGGCATTCAATTTTTACACTTAAAATTAGAGAATAACGTAATAACTGTTCACCCCATGTGTCCTTCCTGCAGATGAATCATGCATCTCGCGCCCTCACCTACATGATGGAGGCTCTGCCGCGCTCCTCGGCTGTGGTGGTAGACGCCATCCCTGTCTTCCTGGAAAAGGTAAATGGCACCTCACTGTTCCTTTGAGACCTGGCTGCTAATTATGTGGATGACATAATTAAAGGTGCTATATCAAGGAAAGTATAAATGTATAAATATAGACATTGAATGTCACAATTTAAAATTTTACAAAATACAAAATTTTACCCCACTCACTTTTAACCAACTAAGTTACAAAAACAATTTCTCATCAAAACAAGTTATAACATCAAAACCACATTCTCGTATAACCACTTGTATTTACACATTCAGTGTTTGCCAACTTGATGGGAGTGTGACATTTCACATGTGAAGAAGTTAAGCAATCATGAAAGGTTATCTTTAAAAGAGGTGTCTTTGTGTTGTCTCAAATCCATGTTTCCCTTGTGTCCACAGCTTCAGGTAATACAGTTTATCGATGTGGCAGAGCAAGCCTTGACCGCCCTGGAGATGTTGTCACGGAGGCACAGCAAAGCCATCTTACAGGCTGTGAGTACTGATGCTTTCTGAGTGTCGTGTTAAATACTAGATCAATATGATAAGACACCAGTCAAACTGAATTAAATGTAATAATTTAATTAGCACAAAAAAGTTCCAAGCATTAATATAGAGTAGAAGTGCGGACACAGATGTGCTTTGAATGTGGAAACTGTTCTGTTGGGCCCATTTTATTTTATTACAGAAAATGGCAATCCACTAAGGCTGTGCTTTTTTTTTTTTAAACTGTTTCTCTGTAGGGAGGTCTAGCTGACTGTTTGCTGTACTTGGAGTTCTTCAGCATCAATGCTCAGAGGAACGCATTAGCCATCGCTGCTAACTGCTGCCAGAGCATCACGCCAGATGAGTTTCACTTCGTCGCTGACTCTCTGCCCCTGCTCACTCAGAGACTCACACACCAGGTGATGAGCTGAAGCACAGCAGATATCTCATTCACATTTATAAGAGCAGACAAATTGATGTCATGTCTGGATCTGTAACACAAACATTAACACCCACAAGGACGTAAGCAATATGTTTACCATAGTGTGGCTGGTGTGAATCACAACTGGTTGACAGTCAGATGCTGGATTTTGGGTGTAAACAATAAAATCAACACAACTCCAACTCGGATGAATCAGCATTTTTATTATGAATTCTGTTTTACAGGATAAAAAATCTGTCGAAAGCACTTGTCTCTGTTTTGCCAGGCTGGTGGACAACTTTCAGCATGAGGAGGTGAGAAATGATACACACAAACACGGCAAATCTTATTAACCTTAAACCTTTGTCTGATCAATTTGATCAAATTGGCTTATTTAAATGGTTCATTTCAATAATAAAAAATTCACTTAATATGAGTTATCACATACTGTTCTCACGAGTCCACAATCAAAATCGAAAAGGATGAGTTTGCAGATGTTTTTTTT